CTGCTGGACCTCCTGGTGGCACCTGGTATTTTTGGCCACTCTGTGACACAGAATGTTGGACTGAATGGGCCATTGTTCCGATCCAAGGTTGGCTTCTCTTATGTTCTTTTGTTAAGTAAACACAAAGTAAATTGATTTTTAAACTATGGAAGAGGTCAAAAGGCAGACAAAACTGTGAAACGTTTTCCTTTCAAAACTAGTCCAGGGTGGGTCTGATTTGGAGGAACAAAACACAGGCAGACAGTCTCCAAGGTCTTCCTTCAGCAAACTTTATTTCTTTGTCAACGTAATAAGCTAGGCAGAGGATCAACCTGATGGACTTAGAATATTTTATGCATGCTCTTTGAATGACCTGGGTTTTTTTTAATATCTTCGCTTCCATTTAAATGCGGGAACACATCTATAACATGCAGGAAAACGGGGTTTTTTACATGTGATTTGAAGTTTATACACACACACACACACCCAGGCTAGCCCAATCACAGCAGATCTCGGAAGTAATGCTCCCTCTAGGGCAGTGATGGCGAACCTTTTAGAGACCGAGTGCCCAAACTGCGACCCAAAACCCACTTATTGATCGCAAAGTGCCCACACGGCAATTTAACCTGAATACTGAGGTTTTCCTTTAGAAAAAACAACTCACACATTAACTTAAGATGATCCAGACAAAGTGAGGAAAGCAATCCCAAATGCTTTCATTGACTTAAAATTATTTGGCAGAGGATTTGACACTTTAATGGTGGTCTGGACACGGCTGGGGCGATGGCACGCATGCCCACAGAGAGGGCTCTGAGTGCCACCTTCGGCACCCGTGCCATAGGTTCGCCACCACTGCTCTAAGCTGTGGTCTTGTGAGCAATAATTCTACTTTGTGAGCTACTGGCATGAAAGCTGTGAGCGAACCATTTGGCCGCTGCATCAGTGAGCTTGCTCTGGAGCCCTCCTTCCCGAGCGGAGACAAAAGTGTGTGAGCCGGAGGCTAAGAAACTGTGAGCTAGCTCACACTGACCCAGCTTAGAGGGAACACTGGGAAGCCAAGCAGGGCCGGCCCTGGCTAGTATTTGGATAGGAGACCTTCAAGGCAATGGCACACGGCCTCGGGGAGCCTCTTGCACGGAAAATCCCATTGGGGTCGCCCTAAGAGAGCCACGACTTGGAGGCGCTTTCCACCGCACGCACAGCACATCGAGCCAGGGCCCCGCCCGTGTAGAAGCAGGTCTCTAGCGAAGGACGGACCGCAGGCGATCCCAGCCCCTCTTTCCAGGTTTCATCACCATGACGCCTCAGCTGTTCATCAACTACAAGCTGAAGTCGGTCGCGCACCTGCCCTGGCGGATGCTCACCTACAAAGCCCTCAACACCTTCATCGACGACCTCTTCGCCTTCGTCATCAAAATGCCCATGATGTACAGGATAGGCTGCCTCCGAGATGGTAATCCCCCTCCCCCTCCCCCAGCATCTGCTCTCGGATCCCCCCCCCCCAGCCACCCAGCGTGGTGTGGTGGTTAAGAGCGGCGGACTCTAATACGGAGGACTGGGTCTGATTCTCCCACTCCTCCTCCACCTGAAGCCTGCCGGGTCACCTTGGGCCAGTCCCGGCTCCCTCAGAGCTCTCTCGGCCCCACCTGCCTCACACGTTGTGAGGTGAGAAAGAGAAGGCCGTTGTAAGTCACTGTGAGGCACCAGGCCTGCTGGGTGACCTTGGACGAGTCCCAGTTGCCTCAGAGTTCTCTCAGCCCCACCTGCCTCACACGTTGTGAGGTGAGAAAGAGAAGGCCGTTGTAAGTCACTGTGAGGCACCAGGCCTGCTGGGTGACCTTGGACGAGTCCCAGTTGCCTCAGAGTTCTCTCAGCCCCACCTGCCTCACAAGGTGCCTGCTGTGGGGAGAGGAAGGGGAGGCGACTGTAAACTGCTTTGAAATTCCTTAAAACAGAGGAAACCAGGATATGAAAACCAACAGGAAAAGCAGGACTCGCTGCCAGAGGATATAGCAATGGTTTTAAAAGGGGGATTAGACAGATTCGTGGAGGAGAGGTCTAGTCAGTGGCCGCTAATCACAATGGCTAAAGGGAACCTCCACATTTAGAGGCAGTCAGCCTCTGAATAGCAGTGCCAGGAGGCAACATCAGGGGAAGGTGTCAGCCTCTGCACCCTGTGTGTTCACCGTCCAGGGCAATTATGTGAGAGAGGATGCTGGACTAGATGGACCCTCACTGGTCTGATCCAACAGGGCTCTTCTTAGGTTATTAGGAAGGCCTCGGCCTCTCTGCCCTGTTGTTGGCCCTCCAGAGGAACTGGTCGGCCACTGTGTGAGACAGGATGCTGGACTAGGTGGACCCTCACTGGTCTGACCCAGCAGGGCTCTTCTGGTGTTCTTATGAAGGCCTCGGCCTCTGTGCCCTGTTGTTGGCCACCCAGAGGAACTGGCTGGCCCCTGTGTGAGACGGGATGCTGGACTGGATGGGCCCTCAGTGGCCTGACCCAGCAGGCCTCTTCTTAGGTTCTTGTGAAGGCCTCGGCCTCTCTGCCCTGTTGTTGGACCTCCAGAGGAACTGGCTGGCCCCTGTGTGAGACAGGATGCTGGACTAGATGGACCACTGGTCTGATCCAGCAGGGCTCTTCTGGTGTTCTTATCAGGGGAAGGCCTCAGCTTCTCTGCCCTGTTGTTGGCCCACCAGAGGAACTGTTTGGCCTCCGTGTGAGACAGGATGCTGGACCATATGGACCACTGGTCCAATCCAGCAGGGCTCTTCTGACGTTCTTCCCTTCTGACTATCCGTGTTTTCTCTTCTCCCCCCCCCACCCCAGATGTCGTTTTCTTCATTTACCTCTACCAGCGGTGGATCTACCGGGTGGATCTGAGCCGCGTCAACGAGTTCGGGATCAGCGGGGAGGCCCCAGCGTCTCGGACGACGCCAAGTACGGCTCAGCAAGACGGCGTCCTCGCGCTGCCGGCCAGCGGCCCCCTGGGCGCCATCACGGAAGGGCCGGCGACCGGAGCGCCCCCCGCGGCGACAGAGGGAGCAGCCGATCAGGATCCCGCGGCAGGCTTGCCGGACGGCGCTCTCCAGCCGCCGCCCTCGAAAACAGCGGAGGAGAAGAAGAAAGATTAACCGGCTCTAACTTTTATTTTTTAAAACTCCCTGACTTGACTCTCTCACAGTTGGATAATGGACAGATGGCAAAAGGGGGGCTGGGCAAGGGGAGGGCGGGGGGGCAGAGTTGCTTCGGTCCACC